AAAAAAATGGTCTTATTGTGTGTATATCCTTTTTTCGCATCATTTTTATCTTTATAAATACAACAAAAGACGAGTTAGAGACTATAATGTACATGTCTTTCTTCTATAAATATATAAGAAAGGGTGGGAAAAAGAAGAAGAGGATCTCCGGGGGAGAGGTAGATGGAAGAGAAAACGACATAAGAATAAGGAGATAACACTTAACTGAAGATAACAACGGTGTGATACTCCCTCACAAATATCTTCACGAAAGCAGTACTTAAAAAAAGAGTTCCGACCCCACTCTCCCTAGGAACTCTACACCTCTTCTCTTCTCATCCATTCTAAAATATTGGAGAGAGATCATGATCTTCATATGTGGTCCCAAACATAATCTACACTAACTTCTCTAAACACAGTGGTAGTCTAACTTAAGCTCCAGAGAGTTTTAAAGATGGAATCCCCTTATCATTCTCTCAAATATTTTATGTAGAAACAAGGAAAAAAAATCAAGTGGAACCTCATAAAGCAAATTGTTCTATGAAATGACATAATGTAGAGGAGATTTTATTGTTGCAAGAAGAAAAATGTTATGCTTGATATGAAGCAGAAAATTATCGAGAAGAAGATCAAACGTCTTGAGGCACATTATTCCAAATCGAAACAACTTGAATTCGACAAAATAACCCAATTCTAGAATTATCCAACATATTTTTCATTGTGTTACTAACGAAGAAGAAACATTATCATAAATTATATAATTACATGTTTATTATCATCTAGATATCTTATATTACGTTTTTAAAATAATGTTCAATATTGGTCTTATAAGTAATATTAAATATCGAATGTTAAATGTATAATATATTGAAATTATGTGTTTGTTATTCGAAGTAAATAATTAATTTTGTGTTGAATGTAAAATTTCAATTTACATTGTTAAACTAATTTTTTGACATTATTCTCCTGCGCAACGTGCGGGTCCTGCCTAGTTAATTCATAAATCTAGATGATTATAAAAAAGAACTAGAAAATCAATTTGGGAACCCAAAATCGAGAGATAGAGAAGACGAGAGGTTTTCATCTGCCGATCAGTATTAGGCTGAGATTGGTTAGGTATACATGTGAAGCTGCTCCACTTCATTTGATCTGGTTGGAGCTAAGTTCCAACCACCATTGTGCCACACTGATGAAATCAATGAGAGGTCCAAAGGTCTCTCGAAAACACTACAAGAAAACAGCCACTATTCCGACGGAAATTCCGACGGCCAATATTTCCGTCGGAATTTTCCYACGGRTTACCGACGGATTTCRGACCAACATTTAGTRCGTCGGTATTCCGTCGCAAAATTCCGACGGAATACCGATGGTTTTATATACCGTCGGTATTCCGTCGGAAATCCGTCGTTCGTACCGACGGATTTCCGACGGAAAATAATCTGTCGTAATATTCTGACGACTTTCCGACGGCGTACCGACGGATTTCCGACGGAAAATAATCTGTCGTAATATTCTGACGACTTTCCGACGGACTACCGACGGAAATCCGATATTTTCGATGTCGGCAAATTTGAGTGGTTACCTTTCGTTAGCGGTGGCCGATGGGATTGGTGGGGTGTTATGTCGGAGTTTTGTGACGGATTTCCGACYGAATTCCGACGGAAATCCGTTTTATATAAGTTCCTTCGTTTCTTCGTTCATTCATAACACAATTTTACAAATCAAAAAAATTTGTTAGCGATYWGTTCATATTTTCGGTCTTGGATGGACGAGCCAATGATGGATATGGGCTCGAATTTATTAACATCCGC